GCTAAATACAACTTCTTTTTCATCTTTTTGGTATGTAAAATGTTAAGCTTTGCCAGGATCATGAATAATCACAAATGTAGATGAGTTTACCCTAGAAAACCATTCTGAAAATGGACTATATTATTTTTAAAAAGAGCGAAAGAAAAGAGCCTGTAGCTGTCATCCCTAACAGATTGCCTTGTTGCTGTTTCTGCCAACTTCTGAGAGAAGAAATATTTCCATTCAGTTCCAATTTTCAACATAAGTAAATAAGGAAGTAATGTGGCTGATTTCCGTTCTAGTGGCTCAATACTAAGTTGGCTGAGGAAACTGTTGTTTGCAGAAATAGTTCTAGGATAACTCAAAAGGGGAAAAATACCAGCACCCAGATGGTATTGTTTTTTGCTCCAATTATACTGGGATATTAATGCTTCATTCCCCATAGTTAAATGTGTTCCAGGCTGTATTTACAGTGTATCCACTCTTCTCTGCCAGCACTGTTACACTTGGAGAATGAAGGAGTTCCTACAAACTAGTACACAAATTGACAAAGTGGCATTTTGAATTGGCAAGGAAGAAAAAGAACAAATGATGAGCAGATTGTTAGCACTACTCTATCCTTTGCAAAAAACAAACACAAAGTTGTTTTGCTTATACTTAAGCATTGTTATAGAGATCCGTAACATTTAAAGGTAGTAGTATTAAAACAGAAACGGGCCATTTTGAGGTCCATTTACTTACCCATTTCTAATTAAAATAGCCCTTACACTTCTAGTAGTTTCTTTGAGCCATAACACACCTCATAACTGGCCATTTGGGCAGTTTCAGCTCAAACCTCCACATATTTTCTGGCACACTAAGAAACATCTTCTGTATTGACTGTATTCTGTATTGATTACATTACTTAGAGTTTTGCTTTAAACCCAGGATTATGTCAGTAATATCTAACATAATTTGTATCCTGACAAAAACATTTGTTGAATATGCTCCTACAGGCAAATGACAAAAATATGGAGAGGCAGGCTGAGGATCTCTCTGCTCCAACTTTTTTTCTCTATAGACTGAAACATCCTTCAGTATCTTAAGTTCAGTGTATCTTAGCCTCAGATCCATTTTTCCAATATATACATAGTTTCAATGATAGCACATAATTCTTTCAATTTTTTTAATACAAAAATTATAGGAACAAGACTCAGTGGTTATGAGAATAGGTCTCAAGAGTACCTGATTCTACYTCTGGGTGAAGCTGTGGGTTTGAAAGGCCTTAATTTTTACAGCTGCTGACTAAGGTTATTATAGGGTAGTTGTACAGACTAGATGAATGGATGTGAGTAAATTATAAATACGTGTCATAATTCCGCTTCCTAGATGTTTTTCAATTAAGTCTTTTTGTCCTTGCGCTAGGTCACTGTCCTTTCATCTCATCTGGGTACCACACTATCCTTTTAATTTCTAAATGGATCTCCATAAGTCCAATCTTATCCATCTGATATAGTAAAATACTGCCTTTCTCAGAATTGGTTCTAAAGACAAATCCAAGCAAGTCCAGACAATTTCAAAATCTATTAGTGATTTTTCCTTGGTACATGAGATAAACTAAAAATTCCAGACTGGCATTCATAATTCTCAGAAACAGATTCAGGTGGCACATCAGAAGTGATGGGAAGGMGCCCAACAGTGTATATATGAGCAAAAATGTTCTCTGAATTAATAAAGTGATTTAGAAATTAAGTAGGGACTTTAGTTATACCTCCATCACTAATCAGCTCTGATGTTCTCTTGTGACCTAAGTTTCCACATCTGGAGGCTGATTATTATTCTTTCTTTGCTCATGTCCTATAATTTTTCCAGCTTTCTTGTCTGGGCACAAAGTCACAACTATGTTTGGTCTAGTCTCTAAATAATTTTTCATATTAAGTTCTGCTTCTAGTTATTCCTATTGCTTAAAAACTTTGTCCTTCCCCACTGATATCTTCATGTGAAAACTCTACTCTTCCTACCATATCTAATTTCATCTTACTCAGGAAGCCTCTCACCTAAACTCTTACCTCACCCTCTTTATTTTGGATAAATTTCTTTTGCTGTCAATTTCCTAGAACATTGAGAGTACTCTATTGTACGACTTAYTGCAGTTTCCTTTCTTTAAGAGTTACTTTTTCTGTTCAAAAGACTATAAGTCTGAAACCTTTCTCAGTTTTTAGCAGAGGACCATTGCCTGTGTCGAGTGCTCAATATTTTGAGTTCAGATACTCAGCAGCTCTACAGTTAGAAATGTGTCTGCTGCAAATTTCTTACTAACATTCCAGAGTTTCAGGCTCTGGAATGTTAATAAAGAGATTTGAAGGCAAGAAAACACAGCTTTTWWAAAAAAAAATTCAGTAGGCAGAACACTCTAGATAGAGTTTGACTTATAATTGGTTTCTCAAACTGCAACTTTTAGATCTGTTACATCAAATTAATTTGTGGTGCTTGCTACAGATGTGAATTCTTGGCTCTACTCAGACTTACTACCTTGACTTCTCTAGCGGGAAGGATCCGGACATCCCTATGTATGTATGTATCTAATCTATATTTATATTTTCATACTGGGGATTGAACCCAGGGCTGCTTAACCACTGAGCAACACTGCCAGCCCTTTTATTTTGGGACAGGATCTCGCTAAGTTGCTTAGGGTCTTGCTGCATTGCTGAGGCTGGTCTCAAACTTCAAAACTCCTGCCTCAGCCTCCTGAGAAGCTGTGTTTATTAGCAACATCCAGATTGGACATCTGCATTTTTAATGTGTATATAGTTTTAGTGATTTAAGTCAATCTTATATTTGATTGTCCTATGTTTCTTATGACATCCTATATTTTTTATGACAATATCATAATTTAACAATTCTCGAAGTGTTGTGTAGGGACTCTTGGGTGTCTTTGGGCTTTTTTTTTTTCTTTTTGATGGGGGGCATTGAACTCATGGGTGCTTAACTACTGAGCCACATCCTAAACCACTTTTTAAAAATTTTTTAAATTCTGAGACAAGGTCTTGCTWAGTTGCTTAGGGCCTTGCTAAATTTGAGGCTGGCCTCAAACTTATGATCCTCCTGTGTGTGCCACCAAGGCTGGCTGGCTGTTCCTGGATCTTTGTCAAAACTGTATTTGTAGTAGTATTAGGACATTTGCCTATTTCACTTTCATTCTCACTACATGATGTATTTTCCAGAGGCTCTGTGATGAGTGATACTCTGAGAGAATGCAGAAGAAATGAGAATCTAGCTATCTCCTACTAAGACAGACATTAAAGAAATTTGTAAAAATGTAAAACACAGCCATTCTCAATATTTTTATTTGTTTTGGAAAATATTMTTTATAAAAATGCTAATTATATTATTATGTAATGAATTCATTATTTTAAAAGGAAACAGATTCTTTAAAAGTTGTTTTGATTTCTAAAATGGTAAATATTGATAGCTGTAATTCACACACACACAAACATATATTTTAAAAGTGTAAAAGGATTCTAATGCTAAAACGTTTGATAACTGCAGTTATAAGTGACAGGAACAATTWAAAAAGTTTTTTTTTTTTTTTTTTAGTTGTAGTTGGACACAACTACAACTTTATTTTATTTATTTTCACGTGGTCCTGAGGATTGAACCCAGTGCCTCACAAATGCTAGGTGAGCCCTCTACTGATGACCCCGACATTTTTTTTAACTAATAATTCTCAATTTATTAAAAAGGGTTCTACATCTTTGCAACCAGAGCCAGATTAATACTCATATTTTAAAGATAAGATCAGTACACTTAAGCCATTTATCAAGATAAGGTAATCCCAATTTTATTCACTTTCCATTGTGACAGAAAAAAATCAGAGGAAACATTCCATTTTATATGTATATGATATTTATTTGTTTTCCAATTTGGAGTAGGAATTTTTAACAAGTTCCAGATGATACTGATGCACCTAAAATTAAAGAACCATCATCCAGAAGCAAAGGAAAATATCTGAAGGACTTAAAAGGAGCAATTATTATATCTGGACATTAAGATAATCCTGAAGGCACTAAAGTGTAGTTGGAAGACATGGATTCTTTTTTTTTTTAATTTGTTTTATTGTTGTAGATGGACAGCATGCCTTTATTTTATTTATTTACATTTTTATGTGGTGCTGAGGATCGAACCCAGTGCCTCACACATGCTAGGCAAGTGTTCTGCCACTGAGCTCCAGCTCCAGCCCAAGACCTCAAAAGCTGAGTCCCTGCCTGGTGCCCAATTTTCCACATCTTTATAATAAAATGTTTTTAATGCATTTCTAGTTCTGCCAATCAACCAGGGTTTCATGCATTCCCACTGCTCAAGGGCAAATGAAGAGCTGCATCTTTCTGATGAGGGCGAGAACATAAATCAGAGCATGTCACTCTTCTGCTTAGAAACCTTCAATCATTTTCCATTGAATTCCACATCGAAGTGAAACTCTTACCCTGGCTCAYAGGCCTCACAAGAATTGGTTCCTAAATCCGTGACCTCATCTCCCTCCCTCCTCATCTTGCCCGTTTTGCTCCAGGCTGTGGCCTTTTTTCCTCTTCCTTGACTTGGCTAGGTTTGTTCCAACTATATGGCCCCTGTACTTACTCTTCCCTCTGCTTGGAATGCTTTACCCTAGACCTTCATTTGGCTTATTGCTCCCTTCGTTCCATTCCATCGCCCTGTCTAAATTTCTTTAAAGCAATTACTACCATCTTAGATGCCCCTGTTTGTTGACTTGCGTGTGCTCTGTTTCTCCCACCAAAATGTCAGCGATTTGACAGCGGGGCTTTTGCTATTTACTAGTGTGTCCCGGGCGCCAGGACACCGCAAGCAGGTATTTGGCGTTCAGTAAATATTTTCGGTGGCCGAACTCATGCACCCAGGCCAGGCCTTCAAAAGAAGGGCGGGCGTCCCAGACTCCTTCACATCTGACCCCGAAGCACCTGCAACCACTCACTCCTCGGCGACCCCAGCACCTCCCTCGAAGCCACCCGGTTGGACCCCTCACTCACCGAACCCGAACGAAGCGCCTTCCGCCTGAGCGGATGCTTGATCCGGAAGTGTTCTTAAGCAGGCGAGCCCGCCTCCGAGCCGAGGGAGTACTTCCGGGCAGTAGGAGCGGCGAGTCAGCGGCGGTGGCTCTGGTGAGGGTGGCGGCGGGCTGGGCGCGGGGCTTTCCGGGTTGAGGCAGGCAGCGTCGGKTCCCGGGCTTGGTTTCCCCCGGAGTTCGCTGGGGCTGGTGAGGAGGCGGCCCGAGGGCGGGCGGCGGACGCCTCACGGCGGGGTGCGGGGGCCGCGGAATGGCTTTGGTTGGCGAAGCGCAGCGGTAGTGCGAGCGACGGAGAACTTGGGAGCGTGTGTTTACAGCACGTCTCCGGTTTGGGACGTGCAGTTGGATGTGGGAAGAAGGGAGAAAGCTTGTCTGCCCATCCAGAGCAGCCACATTCATAACCATAGTAAGGTTGCAAACTACCGCCTCCGCCGCCAGTAGTGACCGCAGCTGTTAACCTGCGAGCCCTTCGGTGACATCGCTGTTCCAGGCCCCTCCCCTGCGTGGTGGAGACTTTAGAGGAGCCGCAGCCGCGTTTGACCGGCGAGGAAACGGAGATGCAGAGAAGCAAAGTTACTTCTGGGCAGGGTTAGAAGAAAGTTGAACTCCGGAGCCAGGCTCTTAGCTCTTAGCTTTGGCGCTCTCCGTGTGGGTAGTGGAGGCGGGGGCAGCGTATACATGCGTGTGTGCAGTTCTTAAAAATGTGGATCAACTCTCTAGTTGGGAATCATTCTCTTACAATTTTGAAAATAACACTCTGGTCATAGAATACCTGGAAAAACTAGAAAAAACATTAAATAGTGTAATTCCATGGACCTACTATTTATTCTTGTGTGTGTGTGCGTGCGTGCGCGCTGCTGCTAGATTATGAATCCATTGAGAACCAGGATGGCACAGCCGTGTAATAATGACAGTAATAATATAAACAAACATCACAAAACCATTGTTTTTTGGCCTCGCCTAAATGTCTGGCACAGTCTACATGTTCATTAAAGCTTTGTTGCACAAATAAAAAAAAAAAAGGAATCACCAGTGTATAATATTTTGCCTTAGTCTTTTATTACATGAATCACGTTTATGCAATATGTATATTACATACTACATATAGTATATTATATAATAGTTGGGTTGTAATCTGGAGAGAGTATAAGGAAAAGATACTAAAAAATACATATTTATTCAACTACAAAAGCATCGAAGTTTGTACAAGAGCTGTGTTGTCTTTCTTATTAGGCCCTTGAAACAAGTGAGGCAGAAATTGCCTTACATTACTACTTTATCTTCAGAGCTTGTTAAATAGTGGAAATGCAAAAGGTATTGCAGGTGACTGAGTGAATGAGTACTTCTAAATTGTACTTAAATTGGTAGTTGTATCTGAGTTGTTTTTCTCTATTTGGGAAATATAGGTATGTATATCATACCCGAAGACCCTAGGCTCCATGACATTAATCTACCTTTCTAGACTTGTGCCTCCCTATTGTTCTTAATATATTAACTACTCCAGGTAACTGACTGGATCCCCTGTGCATTTGAGCTTTCTCATATATTGTTTCTATAGTCTTGAATTATCTCTTTGGTGTATYCATATGTCAAAATCCTAAGTTCCTTTTATGTCAGGTATTGCAAACTTGAATGTCTGCAGGGGCTCACCATGTTAACATAAATGAATGAAGTGGATTTAAGGGGAGATCGTGGAGCATAGGAAGGCATTGCCCTGTTTCAGAGGGCCTAACAGCTCTTTGGCATGAGGCAGTTATTATGCTGTCAAATGTGGGCCTACTGTTGCCAGAACTTTGAATTTTACAGGAGAAATTGGAAACTTGTTAATAATTCATTTTTTTTAAAGTTTAAACACTCTATAGACTAAGTTAAAACATCTGTAGTCTTGATTTGGCACTCAGTTTCYCAGTTTGTAACCATTGCTCTAGGCTTATCTCAGATAATTTGTTTATGGATCATATTCCCTGATTCTTACAGACAACTTTCTGTTCTTTTAGAACTTTTTTATGTACTTCAGTTATAGTGCTGTTTTCCGTCTGTATATATACCTAAGATGTGTATGTGTGTGTGTGTGTGTGTGTGAGATAGAGAGAGAGAGACAGAGAGACAGAGAGAGCGCGCGTTTGTGCACTTGATTTATTCCCTGGTGATTTTTGGTTAACCTGGGAAATTAATATCTGCTCTTTGTAGAAGTAGCAATATTATCTTGGCTTTAATTGCCAAAGAGCTCTACTTCTGGAAGGAATTGAATTGGGTAACATTGCTATTCAAAAACTGATCTGAYAAAAATGTTATCTGATGGCTTAAATAATCTCTGGAAAAAAATTGAATTGGGAATGATTAATGGGAGTTTTGAAGGACATTCAGTAAATGGGAAAATTGACAACTGGGACCTCATCAAAACGAAAAATTGCTCTGTGAAAAATTCTATAAAGAATGAAAAGAAAATCTACAGACTGGGATAAATATATCCACAAAACACATATTAGAGGACTTGAATATGGAATACATAAAGAACTTTCAACTGTAAATCTAATTAGAAAACCAAATCTAATTAGAAAATGAGCAAAAGATAGAAATAGATATTTTACTGAAGAAGCTATTCAGGTAAGCACATGGAAAGATATTTAACATCCTTAACTGTTGGATAAATGCACTTTAAAAGCCACAGAGGAATGCCACCACATACCTGTTAGAATGGCTCGGATGAAAAATAGTGATGCAACTGGTGAGCATATAGAGAACTTGATCACTTGTACATTGCTGGTGGGAAAATAAAAAGCTATACTACTATGGAAAGAGTATGACTTTCACATAAAACCAAAGATGAGCTTATTATATAACTAGTAATTATGCTCTTGGTCATTTATCAGAGACAAAAGAAAGCTTATGTTCCTTTATGAACCTGTATGTGAACTTCCATAGTCATTTTGTTTGTATAATAGCCCCAAAATGGAAATGGTGTATATAACAGTTGGTAAATAGTTCAGTTGTGATACTTTCATACCATGGAATACTACTCAGAAATAAAAAGGAACTATTGGTACAACCTAAGTGGATCTGGAGGGCCTCATTGTAGAGTCAAAAAATTCTCAAAAGAATGTTATGATTCCATTTATATAACATCTTGAAATGACAAAATTTCAGATAACAAATCAGTGATTGGTTACTATGGGTTGGGCAAAATATGGGAAGTTGCCATGGCTAAAATATAGCAGAAGGGATTCTTATGATTGAACTTTTTTAAAAAAAATCTTGACTGTGGGTAGTAGTCACAAGCATCTATGCAGGTGGCTCTTTATATCCATGGGTTCCACATCCATAGATTGAAAATATTTGGAAAAACAGTTATATCTCTGTTGAACCTGTACAGACTTTTTTCTTGTCAGTATTCCCTAAACAATATAGTGTAACAACTACTAACAGCATTTACAGTGTGTTAGGTATTATAAGTAATCTATAGATGATTCTATGAAAGGATGTGTGTAGATATATGCTAATATTATACAATTTTATGTAAGGAACTTGACCATTATTTTGCTATCATTTGGGAGTCCTAGAACCAATTCTCCAAGGATACTAAGGCATGACTGTATACGTGATAACATTTTATAAAACTATATACGGACATATTAGAGCCTGTAACACTGGTGAAATCTGAACATGATGGGTGGATTGTGTCAGTGTCCCGTTTCATGGTTGTGATATTATTCTGTACTTACACAAGTTGTTACCAGGGAAAGTAAATGAATGTATATGGAAAATCTATTATCTCTTATACTGCATGTGAATCTAAATCTCAAAAGATCTAAATAAGTAATTTATATTAAAAAAATCCTATGTAAGTAATTTTGTTCTTGGGCTTGTGTTTTACTAGGTGATGTTCTAATCATGTCAGATAAAGATGATATTGAGAGTCAAGTGATAACTGAAGCAACCCTGGTTCTTGAAGAAGGAAACCATGAGCCAGCCAAGAATACTGAGTCTGTTGACCAAAGTGCTAAGCCAGATAGTAAATCTGAACCTGTAGTGTCCACTCGGAAAAGGCCAGAGGTCAAATCTTCTAGTGATCTTGAAACTCCAGAAGTTCTCCCTGTTCAGGTATTACAGGCTGCAGCCAAAATAGAATATCTGTTAAAATATTGGTATTTAAAAATATTTGGGTTAAAAGTGACTTGGATTCAATGCTAATGTAAGGTTGCACTTAGCTTTGTTTTGTAGAACCATATGATACATTTTCTCAGTTGTATAAATGCCTTTAGAAGAACTTGTCTTTGCTACTTGGTGCTTACAAGATGATAATATACATCTGTTAGTCAAGCAAGTATATCACTCATAATTTTGCTAAATTATTAGATAATCTTGTCTAACTTTCTGATTCTAATTTTTCTATTTTTTCTTTTGTTTTTCTTCTTAACTGGGAAAAATAGGAGCCTGTTTCCAAAGATGTACCCCAGACTGGATGGGGGTATTGGGGAAGTTGGGGAAAGTCCTTACTTTCTTCAGCCTCAGCTACAGTAGCCACAGTAGGTAAGTCATCAGTAGTTTCATTATTTTTTATATTCATTTTGCTACAGACTTATGTTATACATGATTTTGATAATAATCCTTCCTTCCATGTTTACTCAGAGGCTTTATAGTTGTGGGTGGTTAAATAATGGGCTGATACATATTGCTGCTAGAATTTGAAGCATTTTTTCATTAAAAAGTTCAAGTCTGGGAATTGTTATAAAAAATGAGTTAAAATTTTTTATATTAGCTATGTATTGTTAAAATAATATGTCCTATGGCCATAATAATTTTAAAAACATGCAGATATTATTTTTGCTTTGTTTCTTTAGTTTTGGTAGCAAATAGCAAAAAATGTTATTTGTCTAAATAGGACAAGGTATTTCAAATGTCATCGAGAAGGCAGAGACTTCTCTCGGGATTCCTAGTCCCAGTGAAATTTCAGCTGAAGTCAAGTTTGCAGCAGGTTAGTATAAAGAAACATTAAGGCCTAGGGTTTTGGATTAAAATGGAACAGTTAAGCTCATTTTTCAGTAGGTATAWTTTAAACATCTAATGCACAGGGCATCATGGGACTGTGACAAGAAAGAGGATTTGGAATCTTTAGCTGTCAGTTAGAGTTCTGTGTCCTCTAACCAATCATGTGTCTCTTCACTTTCCACATCTACAAAACGATCTTGAAAGACTGTTATAAACATTAATAAAGCTATGAATATAGAATATGAGGATGTTTAACATTTTTCTTGGTATATTTAAGTGACCCAAGTGTTAGCTGAATTTAAATCTATTATGGCAAGAGAAAAATATTTTAATGAATAGTTTGGGGGTTGTATTTTTTTTTTTCCCTTTGGATTTTAATGAGGGTGAAGTTTTATTCTGGACACTTGCCTTGATCAAAGGGAAACATACTCTCACTGAAACCAGGAATCAGGAAAGCCTGGGACCAAATAATAGAAAGTTTTTCAATACCTGGTTTGCTTTCTGTGTCAGGGACTTTATTTTCTCTCATTATTCTCTTTGCTCATCTATGCCATTTTTTTTTTAAGCAAACTGATTCTCTGTGCTTGTCTTCTGGTTCCAACTTTATATTGAATCCTAGTATTTATCCCCATCTGAGACCAACTGGCATCAGTTATTTCTGAGTTCCTAGGARAGACAATTAGATTGGCCTAGACTTGAGTCACTTGTCCATGGGCAGGAGATGAGATCATATTATACAAACATGTCTGCAAAGGACTTTGTGAGTTTGAGGCATTGTTCTTAGTGATGTTCTTAGATTACTCTGCTGAAAATAACAGAATAAGTGACTAAGAGTGAATTTATTTTTTCTCACTGAAGAACTTCAGAAATAGTCTGTTGCAGAGATAGTTCATTGATGTTGGGGTTCTGGGTTGGCTTCTCTCCTGTTTACTTTTGTTGGTTTCTTAATGGCTGCCAGATAATACTGCAACTCCAAGTATGATTTTCTAAAACAAGAATGCTCTCAAAGTCAGGAATTAAGTGGAAAGAAAGTACCATTTTCCCTCTTGCATCTCTTTAAAATGAGTAGTTTTCCCCAGCAATTCGCAGTGCATTTCTTCTCAGATATCGTTAACTAGAACAGGTCATGCTGTAGCAGAGAGAGGGTTTTGGGCATTGTTATAAACTTCCATATCAGAAGTTGGGTTCTTTTGCTCTCCTTTTGTTGACAGGTAGTTATGGTATAGCTTAGATTGATACTTTCAAGGCATTATTAAGCTTGTTTAGGGTGAGTCTAGAGTAGCCTTTACTCTGAGGGCTTGTTTGTTTGTTTGTTTGCTTATTATTTATTTATTTATTTATTGCTAAGGCCTGACTTCTGAGGTTTTTACTCAATTCCCAGTTGTTTAAAGAGCTCTTTTTACTTTGGTTGGTTGAAATTCAAATGTTTCAGCTTAGCATGAGCTCTGGGGATCGTTTAGCTTACCACTCCATAGCAGTCCCCCACCCCCAACTTTGTGGAGTCTCCTAGTGCCTGAGCAGTGTGGTATTCAGCCAGAGACACAGGGCACACCTGTGTAGTTTCTTGGACCTCTTAACATATGCAGCTGCATCCTCTCTAGTTGGCTCCAGTCTTTGTTCAGACTCATTGTGATGCTGTGCTATGCTGAATTTCCCCTCCTTGTGTTGTGGTTTGTTTGGAAAGTTCTTCTCTACACCATGTACTGCCTCTTTCCAGTATCTGCAAAAGGTTGTTTCTTATATTTTGTCCAGTTTTGCAGTTGCTGTGGTAGGAGRGCAAGTCCCGTACCAGTTAATTCATTGTAGCTGGAAGTAGAAATCCTCCCTATAATAGAGTATTTGATATAGTTAGATTATTTGATGTAGTTGATCTCCTATAAGATTTTTAAAATGAATAAAATAGAACAGTTTATTTGAAATATACTCTTTGGAATGCACGTCTGATTCCTACTAATGGGCATGATTTTCTAGGATAAAATTGAGTTATAAATTACATATAGTAAAATTTGCTTTTTAGCTATGTAGGTTTTTGTACTTCAAGAGATATATGAATGGCTATGTTGGAATACTATGTAACCGTAGTATGTGTAGTTATACATATATAGAGTATTTCCTATATAAACTATTGGGATATAAAAGAATTTTCACTAAGAAAGTTCCTTTATGCCCTTTGTAGTTACTCTCTCCCATCTACTACCAGCCTTTGGCAAGCACAGGTCTATTTTCTGAACCTCTAGTTTTACCTTGTTCAAAAGATCATTATCACTGAGATTATTCAGGATATAGTCTGATGTTGTATAGATCAGTAGTTTGTTCTGAAGATTGGATTTTATTTTGAAATGAAATAAAAATGGAAAAAAAAMCCCTGCCTATTTGAATTTTCAGTTAAAATGGGCAAATTGTTTAAAATAATGAAAAGACCTAAGGACTTGAGTRTAGGAACTGAGTCTACACTTTAAAAAGTCACATAGATGCTAGTAAAGAAAACAATTAATGAATCTTCCTTCCATGTTTCCGTATTTCCTTCCTTTTGTAGGAGAGACAAATGCCAAAGAGAATGAAAGCTCCTCCCCAGTCATGGGGCCATTTGGTGTATTCTCRACCATTTCTACAGCTGTTCAGAGCACAGTGAGTAAAAAGTGCAAAGTGGCCTGCTCCCTTCTGTTTTTATAATAGATTTGTATATCTTTCTCCTTCTTTTCCTTGAAAAACCTTGAGAACTGATTACTCTTAAGGGAGTCCAAATCACTGAAGATCAGTCACCTCTCAGGTCAAGTAAAAGCTTTTTTGAAAGAAATAAAGGAATATAAGATGAAGAGTTAGAGAGGCTATGTACATGATATTTCTTTTTTATGTTTTCTTAGTACATAATATTTTATGGACCAGGAATTCTTAGTTTGGTGACCTAGGAAATGTCTCTGCTTTTACAAAGACATTTTTCTCTTAATTGTATCTTAAGTGGGCAGGAGGGCTAGGGCKGTGTGTGATCTTTATGGTAGATACTTGTAAAACTACAGATGATAAAAAGCATTTTAAATAGAATAATATAGGACACTAATTTTCCTACACGAGTGAGGGTAGGTAGCTAATACTTTTTTTAAAAAAATTTTTGTTGAAGTATCATAAGTGTTCAGTGTAAATGTTCATGTTATGAATATACCCAGTCCCCCCACTGTGTCCTCTTTTCTGCCAAGATAACCATAGTCTTGATTTATAATATCATAAGTTAATATTGCCTGTTTTTATACTTTATATAAATGAAATTGTAGAGTATGTACCTGTTTGTATTTGGCTTCTTTCATACAACATTATGTTTGTATATTTTATCCATGTTACAGTTTGTATGGATTTTCTTTGCTTTATCCCTTTGTGTGACTGCCACTTTTTTTCTTTAATTCCACAATAGTGAGCATTGGGTTAATTTCCAATTTATAGCTATTACAAATAATTCTGCTATCATCATTCTTGTTCATATTTTCTGATGTGCCTCTGTACATATTTCTCTTGAGTATATAATCATGAGTGGAATTGGTGGTTCATACAGCTGTAGTAAATACTGACTAAAAGTTTTTCAAAATGGTAACACCTATTTACATTTCCACAAGCAGTGTATAATTGCTTCACTTTTTCTACATTTTTCTCAATGCTTGGTTTGTTGGCCACTATTTTTAAATAATCAAAATATGCAAATATATTTTCTTAACATTACTGTTTATGTGTTTTCTAGGGAAAGAGTGTTATCAGTGGGGGTTTGGATGCCTTAGAATTCATTGGAAAAAAGACAATGGATGTAATAGCAGAAGGGGATCCTGGATTTAAAAGAACCAAGGGTCTGATGAATCGGAATTCTACACTGTCTCAGGTACTTTCTTCTTTACCTGTTTKATTCTTGTTTCTGTTTTGATTTGTATTTTTGCCTTTGCTAACTTGGGGCCTTCTTAGGGTTTCCTTTTGAAGAATCTTTAGTGATTTTTAAAATTTAAGCTACTGAGATAGGGAGGAGGTAGGGAGAGCTTGAATGCTTAAAAAAATGCCTAGCTCTTTTTTTTTTTTCTCCTTTTTTTCATTCTGTAGGAGTTTCCTGTCAGTGAAATGCTAAACCCTGTCAAAGTTGTTTATTAGATTAATGTTTAAATCACTTTTGGAGAAACACCTGGTTCCTTGGGTGTTATTTACACTAGCATCAAATTATGTGTTATCATTTTTTTCCCTGCATCTCCTGAGCCTATTGGATTTGAATTGCAGTGCCAAAAATGAAAGGGCAGTGCTCTGAACTCAGCTTTACTTCCCTCCACTCTCAGAACTCACCCTTGAGCTCTCATTATTTGCTTCAGTGTAACACCTCCATCTCTTTTTAGGTCTTAAGAGAGGCAAAGGAGAAAGAAGAGCTGTGGACCTCCAATGAGGTTACCATGGAAACTGACAAGAAAACTCATTATGGGCTACTCTTTGATGAATTTCAAGGCCTTTCACACCTAGAAGCTCTGGAGATGCTTTCCCGAGAAAGTGAAATAAAGGTAAATCCAAACTAAAAATCCCAGCTGAGAAGTCTTCAAATAAAGGAATGCTGCATAGCTTCTTTTCTCTTTCCACATTAGGAAGATGAAATGTGTTTCCGATAGAGGCTTGAGACTCTATGGAAATACTATACCAGAACAAACAAGAAACTGATTTTGAACAAATTGCTAAAAAGAAGTAGGATGAACCAAGTGTATTTCTGTAAAATTACACAAAAAAGGATAGATTAATAAGGAGGTCCTTAATAACACATCTGCTATTTTTCCCTATACCTCAGTCTTTTTTTTTTTTTTAATAACCCCCAGTTTCTTTGGTTTCAGCTGCTAAAAACCTATTGACTTAAGCTGTTAATTTGTATACAGTTAGCTTTTAATTGATTCAAAATGATTTAATGTTCCTCCCTGATTTTTAATTTGTTTTTAAGCACTAATAATTTCCAGATGTCTCTAGCTTTTGTTAGTTTTGGAAATACAGATTCTCTCTACCTTTCTGTAATAATTATCCTCTTGTGTTGCTGGTGAGCTCATAGTTCTGACTTCATTTTGACCTATTGTGTCTTCTCCAGTTGAGAATTGTTTTTTCCTTTTCAGACTCTTACAGTTTTTTTTTTTAATATTATATCCATTTAGGTGAAATCTATCCTTAATTCTTTAAGTGGAGAAGAATTAGAGGCACTAAAGTTTGAATTAGAGCAACTCAAAGAAGCATTTTCCCTGGCAGAGTTTTGTGAAGAAGAGGAAGAAGAGAAAAAAGGTAATATGAAAATTYATTATCTGAATGTAGAGAATGCAGTGTGTTTGTTTGCAGTGGTTTGCCCATGAAATAAATTATTTATTCTCTAATTATACTGGTTTGATTTTACTTTTTTCAGTAACAGTTTTCATGCAGACTCCTTTCTGCAGCCTTTCCCCTGACTAGTCATTGAAATGAGCAAGTCATTCTCATGTCCAGGTCTACTCTTCTTTTCACTGCCAGACTCTTTGGAGGTTCTCCAAGTCTACTTTTTTTTTTTTTTTTTTTTGTGATAATAGGAATTGAACCCAGGACCTCACACATGCTGAGCTATGTCCCAGCCCCTCCAAGTCTAATCTTGTAGAACACTTGACTCTTTTTTTTGTCTTTTTTTTTTTTTTTTTGCAGTTAGAGATGCTCTTGTCAGATTCTTTCCTCAGTTTGTCAGGCCATCCCTATGAGCATCTGTATATCTAGATACTTTACCTATGCTTTTCTGACTTCTGTGACCCCCTAACCCATCTTGAATTGAAGCCTGCAAGATGGCAATTATCCAAAATGTGGATGATACTTTGTTTTTTTATTTTATTTTTTATTTTTACAAATTTTGTCTTAAATTTTAATATTTGTATTCCTTGGGAAATATAGACATTGAAACTATTCATTTTTGTAAAATTATCAGGAAACACGATAGTTTATATATATAGCACAATTTCTAGGCAACTGAATCTTAAGCTCTAAGGGTTGTTTTTAACATTAAAAAAWTTTTTTAATATCTTTATTTTATTTATTTATTTTTTATGTGGTGCTGAGGATCGAACCCAGGGCCTCACGCATGCCAGGCGAGCACTGTACTGCTAAGCCACAACCCCAGCCCCTGTTTTTAACATTTTTAGCTGGAAACATTTCTAAGATATATTCTCTACTAACTGACTTCTTTTAGAAAGTGGAGTTAACGAATATAGTTTGCCTTTTCTTGATGAAACACTTAATTATAAACATTATTGAGTAGAAAAATTCTCTCATTGTTCATCAAAACTTAAAGGGCTGGTTACCCATGTGGTAGATTAAATCAGTGGTTCACAAAATATGGTCTGTGCATTCTTAAGTCCCTAAGAGCCTTTAAGGGAGTTCATGAGTCAAAATGGCATAATAATATCAATATGTAACTTACTTTTAGAAAAATTTTTGTTTTTATTTTTCACTATTTTGATATTTTATCTTCACTGTCATTGAACTTGCTTTGAGTCTCATTTGGTTTTTTATTTTTAATTTATATGAGCAGGAAACCAAACAATTAATCTTATTCAGGTTTCTATTGAGAGAGCAAAGATCTCCTAGTGTAGGTTTTAGGGCCTTGTCTATGAGAGGAGGACAAAAAATTGTGTAGATTCTGCATAGATAAAGACTTTTACTCTTTTGTTTCTTTTTGTGTTCTTATTGGGTTCTAAGTCAAGATGTCTGGTTATGTAACATCTCATTAATCATACCTTATTCTGTATAAAGGTACTATTATTGATTAGAAAATGGTTTTTGAAAGCTGTCCTAAGATATTGAGATTGTGGTTTAGCTTAATGAATAAAAAAATGACTTTTTAGGTTAGACTTGGGTTCATATTTACTAAGTCTTGTAACCTTGAGAGATTACTTAACAGTGAGTTTCTGTTTCCCCATTGTAAGAACAGGATCTAATTCCTCTCAGGTTGTTATAAGGGCTCAACTAAATATTACATTTAATGTGTGGCACATTAGTAAGCATCCAGTGAATGATGGCTATTTTTAGTTTCATTATTAGGGAGATATAAATAAAGGGATAAAAATCTGCATTTTAAAAGTCTAACTTAGCAGGAAAGCAGTAACTTGATTTTGATTTGTTCCATTTGACCAAATATGACAGTGTCCAGTTATTTACAAACATTTAAGTTATTTGTGCATGCATTAATAGTATTTGTTCAATTTAGTCAACATCTGGCTTTGCATATTATTAGAAATTCTGATCTTTAAACACTAGAGGACTCTAAGGAGTTTTATAATCGAATGGTTTTGTGTCTGTGATACTTTACCCCTGTCTGTTTGCCAGAGATCAGAACTTTGAAGATACAGCAGTGAATTCTAGGACAACATCCCCATCCTTCAYCCTGCCTCAGCCCTCCTAAGTGATTTTGATTGAGAATGGAATAGTGTCTTTAGTGTTTAATTATAGCTCAATGAAGCTGTTAAAAAATAATGGAGGTTGCAAATAGGAGAGAAAAATCATAGAACCTGGTTCTGGTGATGTTGGTCATCTTCATTTTCCATCAGCATCCCTAGCCCTTGCTCCTGATGTGCCTAATCACTTTACATAAGAGGGAATCATCTTGCTTGGGGAGACTCCAGCCTTTCTCATGAGTCCCTCCAAAGCACTAGCCCTGTCTCTCTTACATCTTTACAGAATTTTATTCTAATGCAACAGCTACTTTTTTATGTTCATTTCCATGGAAAGTATGTGATTGTGATCTCTTAAAACATTTTTTTGATCATAAATTTTGCCAGCAAAAGTTTATTGATCACTTAGACATTAATATCTATCTTTACACACATACATATACATACATATAAATGTTTATAAATTAAATACATTTAAATACCATGTTATTTACATTCTGAATTATACCCTAAATTAGAATTTTTTAATAGAATAAGATGAGTGTCCATAAATAAAAGCAGATTATTTTTTCTTATAGGCCTTTGGATTATTTTGTGAACMCTTTAAGATACAGATTTAGAACTTATGTGGATTCAGATTCATTCCCTGCACCCAAATAATTTAGGGCTTAGTTAGGAAATCACAGTGGTTATCTGAGAGTCAGATTTTAGATTTTTCATAGCAGGATGTCATTAGGTGTTTAGATGAGTTATGTGGGTTAGAGTTGTGTCAGTGAGATCAGCTTTTCCCAAGCCATGTTGTACTTGAGATTATTAAATCAATTTAATTCTCAACCTTAAATGCCAGAATGAGGAACAAAATGATAGTGGATGGAGAGAAGAGCCAAGATATATTTCCCCTTCCCTGGGGATTTTTTTGGGAAATACCAGGCATAAAATAAGTAACAATTTGCCCCTGTAAGCCATTGACTGGTGCTTAAGAAATGCTCATAAAGATTTTAAGTGCTTAAAGATTTCTTTACATAAGAATTTTCTTTTACATTTCATGTTGCAGAGGAGCCTTAGGCTGGGCCTCAAAGGGGAGAMTGGATAGAATTTTTAAAAATTTCTTTTGGAGTTGCAGGTGGTCAGGATGCCTTTATTTTTATGTAGTGCCGAGGACCGAACCCAGTACCTCACACATGCAAGGCAAGTGCTCTGCCTCTGAGCTACAGCCCCAGTCCTGGGTAGAATTTTGATGGTAGAAAGGGAAAGAGATTCTTGCCATTCACTTAGAGATCTTGATCTTGACTCACGCATTTGTTTGTTTCTCAAATGTAGGTGTTCTATATTCCCATCAGCTGTGACTGGGCTAACTCCAACAGCTTCCTTAACCATCTTTCCAACATTCTGGAATCACCTGTTCTTTTCATTTCTCAGTGTCCACCATTATATCTTTCCTGGATCATGGATTTGTACTTCAGCCTTATTTCCCTTTTTGTTCCCCTTCTTATCCATTCTTCACCTAGCAGCCAAAGTAATTCTTCTGTAATTTAAATTTGATCGTGTCTCTGTTTGCTTAGAAGCATTCAGTGGATCGTAAGTATAGAGTTTGAGTCCCTCATCATGGCTCCAAAAGCCCTTTATTTTCTGGATTTTACTCCCCTTTCTAGCTTCTTAATAATTTTCCTTTTATATTAGACACTTTTACCACATTAAACTTCTTGCCATGCTTTCTTATATCCCTGGATCTTTGCACTTGTTTTCTCTCCCTGAAACTTTTTCCATTCTCCTTACTAACTGTTCTCACCTTTTGTGACTCAAATTCCATTTCCTTGGAAGCACATGCACAGTATCTGTTTAGTTAGTGCTCTACCTTCACCATTTCTTCATTATGGGATGTAATGCAAAGAACATCGGGAGCGGGGAGGGCCAAGGTTTGACTACTGTTGCTGTGCAATCTTGTGGAGATCACTTCATCTTTTCAAGTTCTTGTTCTTCAACTCTAAAATGGGGTAATGACCCCCCCCTTTTTTTTTTACAAGCTTATTCAAAACATTCATTGATATATAATATACATTAAAAAAAAAAAAAAAGAAGATTCTGTGTAAGCACCGGAAACTCCAAGCTCATGTAAATTGCTGCTGCTGCGGCTGCTACTATTGTTATTAATACTACTGCTACTGCTACCACTCCTCTTCCTTCTCACCCTCCTCTTGTTCCTCAGTAGTCTTTCTGGAGTGTTTTACACGGGACTTGGTTTTTTAGGGGATGAAGATTTTACCAAAGAGGTAACAGAGCTGTTTTCTCAACTGCACGTCTCCTCCAAACCAGAGAAACTTGCCAGGGTAAGTTGTTTCTTTTTGGTAATTTTTATTATTTTACCTTAAATAATTTAGTAGAAAAGACCATAAGATTATAAATTCTGGCCAGGGGTGTCATCAAAATTAAGGATATATTATCAACATACTCAGAAAAGTGTTCCACACCTTCCTGCCTCCTGTTCTCCCCAGGATGGTGTGCTGGATCTGTATCCACCCCTGCCAACGCGTCCTATCCTCACCTGTTATCATTCGGGATGCTTTGCTTATCTGAAAGCTTAATTTAGGCCAGAGTGTTTGTAATTTGAAGTTGGCACTACTGACCAAATTTCATGATACCAAAGGGAAAGCCTCTGTTGAGGGCTCATTGATCTCAGGGCTTTGCAGAGATGATGAGTATGACTTGAGGCTGTCATTTCCCAAAGCTCAATGACTCAGATAATGACTATTTAGCATGTGGAAATGAAGAGTCTCAGGACAAAATCTTAGTCTTTGGTGATGAGTTCTGAGCTGTCTTCAGTACATCTGGAAATACACTTTATCAAAGCTCAGAGTGAATATGGATCCATTCTTTCCTTCTCTCCTTTATGGAAATAGAATATTCCTTAAAAAAAATAGAATATTCCTTATTCAGGGGTTTATCTTATGTTTTCTCATGCTTAAAGTTAGGCTATGCATTCCAAAGGCSAAAATGCCCTGGGAATGGATCATGCCCAGTTCCAGTGGATCATGGGCTCCTTCCTGCCTCTATACCCATCTCTCGCAGGCTCAAGAAATATTTCAGGATTAATCAGCTGGGGGCACACATTGCTTCCTGGCCAGAGGGCTGATAGCCATTCTGTCTTCAGCATACTCATCTTCTCTCCCATACCCCATGGTAAGGAATATGAAGCTTAGTGTTTTATCCCAGTCTCCCATGACCACTGGAAATGTTGTATTCTCCAGGAAAGTTTTTCACACCATTCTTTTTTTTTTTTTTTAATTGGGTGTTCAAAACATTACAAAGCTCATGATATATCATCTTTCATACATTTGATTCAAGTGAATTATGAACTCCCATTTTTACCCCAAATACAAATTGCAGAATCACATCAGTTACACATTCACAATTTTTACATAATGCCATATTAGTGACTGTTGTATTCTGCTGCCTTTCCTATCTCCTACTATCCCCTCTCCCCTC